TTGGACAGGTATATTCTTGCCGTTTTAGACCTTAAAACTTGTTAGGATGTGTTCTACTAGCTCTAAGGGTTATAATGGTGCAAGAAACGTGAAAAAAAGTGAAAAAATGAGCGAGAAAACGTGATTTACAGGTTTTCCGGTGACGGCGCTGGCGACGGCGCCGAAGAAATGATAAGAGAAGGAGACGGAATATTCCGTCAGAATTGACGGAATATTCTTGACGCCGTTAACGGAATCTATCAACTTTGACGGAATATTCCTAACGGCGTCAGTTGACGCCGTCAGTGTGCCAGGCACGTGCCTTGGCCGGCGCGTGGGGGCGCGTGCGGCGGTGAAAAATTTTTCTAAAAATTCTGGTGTGTTCCTGAGGTTGTGTAGAGCACGTTGGTATATTCATTTGTCCATTTTGAGCAATGTATGAGAAGTTATTTTGAACGGATGGTTATGCGCTTTAAAATTAACGTTTTTATAGTATTTTCGCATATAGGTGACACATATCCCGAGGACGAGCGTGCTCACGCGAGGCAGGGGGGCTACGACCCTTCCACGTACCAGTGAGTGGGCTTTTTGTTTTCTGTATATACCTATATACATTTATTTTCCCAGAAATTGGTTAGAGGGTTAATTGTTTTATGCCATGTGACATGTTATTATCGTTCATGCATCGCTGCATACATTAGTAGTGATACATATATATATATATATATATATATATATATATATACGTATGCATAATTGGTGCTGTGGATGCACAGGTAAGTGCCAGGTAAGCGTTTTATCATAATTACATTCAGTAGTGGTTAGAGATGCTTAGAAAGCTCATAACCTGCACCCCCGGTGTTAGTGCTCCCGCCCAGAGTAGGGCACAGTCCTTCACGTGTCGTTCACCTCCCGCACCACACACTCAGCTTGGATCCAAGTTAGGTGCACAGTCTTATCGTACAGACCACTTTAGGTGGTTCCGACTCGTAGATGACCCGTGATTACTCGCATAGCCTTCACGTGATCGTAGCACTAGATCATTATATGTATTACACCCAGGCCTGTCGTACAGACCACTTTAGGTGGTTCCGACTCGTGGGCAGGTTTAGTTATTGAGATTGAGATTTGAGCTCTAGACGCAGCCGTACAGGTCACGTAGAGTGACTTCGGCTACCAGATTATATGTTATTGATGTGATTTATATTTGAGCACTTGCACTTCAGGCTGAGGTTCCGATATGGCATATATTTGAGCATGATTGGCGTATTTATACCTACGTACATATGTTTATTTTCTGGGAAGTATACAGGTTTTACGGCGAGGGGTTAGAATATTGTTTTTGAAATGATTTTTGAAAAGCTTTGTTTTTGCCCACTCACGCTTTTGTTTTGCGCCCCTCCAGGTTCTAGTAGCTTAGCGGGTTCGGTGGTTTTCCCAGAGGGCGTTTCGGCATTTCTGGCAGACACTCACCAGTGTAGGGTCACCTTCGGGTGTACTATTGTTGTATCATTTTCTTTGGACTGCTGTAGTCTTTATGCTCTGAATTCAGCGTCTCACTTACGCTAGCACTCATATTGCCACTTATTGTATGCTAGTTTTTAAATTATTCGTACTTTTACATTACTGTTTTTAGCTTCCGCACTGTGCACATGGCTACATCACTTCCACGTGACGGCCAGCATGCCCTGATCTCGGTCGGGGTGTGTCAGTGTCCAACCATTTTGTGCCAAGCGTAATCTGTAAAAATGTAAATCGACAGAACCAAAGGCTGCCAAAGTCAGACTTGAAGATGAAGGATGCCATTTCCATCCAAGTTCCCATACCTCTCTTTTTGAAAAAGATGCAATAAAAAAGTTTATTCTCATCTAAATATCTTCTGAATTTTCAGTCTTCCTTTTTTACTAAATTACGAAACCATGATGTTTTATCTTCCATGAATTGATATCCTTTAGGGGATTCACATTTCAATGTTTATGGACCCAACAACTCAGATTGTTCAATCTAAATATCCTCTGAATTTTCATCTTCTTTTTTACTACATCATGAAACCATGATACTCTATCTTCTCTGAATTGATATCCTTTACAAAATTCACACTTCGATGTCCCTGGACCGAACAACTCAGATTGTTCAATCTAAATATCCTCTAAAGTTTCATCTTCTTTTTTACTACATCGCGAAACCATGATGCTCTATCTTTTATGAATTGGCATCTTTTACGGAATTCACACTCTGATGTTTGTGGATCGAACAAGTCAGATTGTTCAATTTAAATCTTGTGTCCTTGTTAACTTATTTCACTAATTCATCTCACCCACAATCTCTTTCTCCAATGCTCAAATATATGTGTCTCTTGAACAGTCTAAATTGTTGGATTCGTGAACTCTTGAGTGTAAGATTCGAAGAGAATCTCGATCCATCTTTTATATACGTTGCCAAAGCCACATAGCCACGTTAGTGAAGCTAATCAAATTTTCTCTGCATTCTCCCACCACAGCCATGATTCATCCAACCCTATTGCTCAAATGTGGCAATTTTATCACCTTATTTGTTTCTTGTTATAATTGATTCTCTACTACGTCCCACACCATTACTCACTGCTCACTTCTGAGAAAATTTATGGTTGTCGGTATTATTATTTAAGGTAGTGAATGATTGGTATTTTCTGTACAAAATTGGCACCCAGACTTTCTCAAAAGCAAGTCGAGCATTTCCTACAACACTAGTAACATTATTTTAGCAAGAGGACTAGTTAGTGACTATCACAAAAGTGTGTTAATTTGAGGTATAGCTAGTCTCTCGAGGGCAAGGTTCTCATTCCTTAAAAAACCAAATAAAACAATATTTCCCGTGTCAACAATAACTCCTTTTGAGATAGCTTGAAAGGTGATACTAAAGAGACTAAAATTTTGATTCTTTTTTTTTTTTTTGTAAAACACATGATGTGGAGATTGATCAATAGACTGCTTTTTTAAATCATTAAAAATAAAAAATTAACCATCAATCATCGTATCATGTAGTCTATAAAAAAAAAATTACTTCAAAAAAGTCCTTAGAGTGCCACGGAAGCAGAGCACTGGGAGGAAGAGAACGGACCCAACAAGGACGGAAATCTGACGGATCATTGCAAGCGGATCAGCAAGAGAGGAAAAAGTCGAGCGATATCATCTGATGGTAGCAATTGATTGGTACTGAATCCCTGAGTTCCTGAGTCCCGCGGCAGAAAGGTGTCCATTCATTGGCCGCACAGCTAGGAACCAAAGCTGTAGTGGGCAATGGGGATAGTATCGACAAGTAACCCACAGCTGGCCTTCAGGCTCTGGTGGAGAATTGCACATGGCAGGCTGCCTCATGTCCAATTTTTGGAGGTAATATTTGGCCAAAAGGGCACAAATTGTGACAAATATAAGATCATCCCCAAACGAAAGAGGATCAGACGGCCCTATAGGTCTCCAAAAAATTAATATTTTAATAAATAATGTCAGACCATATTTCTCATCATCTCCAACCGAGGGGCCAAAGGGACATAGACCAAACATAGTCTTGTGACAAAAAAATCATCTCCAACCGAAAGGGCCTAAGGGCCAAACATAATTTATTAATTTAAAAGAAGTGTTATTGACACTTCAAAAATCTCATTCTACACTCCTCACAAGTGTATTTTTCTTTCTAAATATAGAAAGTTTGGAGTGTAGAATGAGGAATATGGAGTGCCAATAACAATTCCCTATTTTAATTGAATTACTATGGTTACTTAAATTAAATTACCTCAATAGTTTTATGTTATGGATTGTCAATGGATGATACGTTCTCGTGCCACAAACAAGTACCTGCAACAGGATCTTGTTGCACATCTTTGGGCCAAAATAAGCATGGATTAGGCGTTTAAGTTTTATGTTGTTAAATATTTTTTTTAATGTTGTTTAAGTTCCATGTTGTTAAATGTTTTTTATTATGTTGTATAAGTTTTATGTTGTTTAATGTTACTTAATGTTAATATTGTTTAATGACTTAGGTAGTTATAGGAAAAAAATAGAAATTTTAAATTTTTTTAAAAAAGTTTTGTAAAAAAAAAAAAATCAAATATAACGGCTAGCTAGCGTTAGCAAGTAGCCGTTAGATTCAAACTGTTGGATCGGCCTAGGGTTGGTTGGGTTGGGCTAGCCGGTTGGCCATTTTCTCCTTTTTTGGCTTGGTGGAGCCCATGAGCCCTTTGACCTAACCCTCAGTTGGAGACGATTTTCGTGTTATTTTGGGCTATTTTTGTCCATATGGCCCTCTGGCAGGATCAGTTAGATATGGCCTAATAGTGCACCATGAACAAGCATAGAGATTTTTTTTATGTGTCTGCTTACGTGTGAAGTAGTTTCATGCAACGAGGCGTTTTAGATCAAACACACACTGTTATATACGAAAGTTGAAATGTATAATAGTGTGTGATTGATTTTAGATACTCTCCCTGTATACTCTTGCTTGGTGCACTCAGGATGAAGCCGTATTAATCCAACCCATTAATGGGTGCACCATATTCATCCAAGCATAGAGATTTTTGCATTTTCGTGATGGTATTTCAACCCACATATGTAATCTTAAGCCAATTCTATTGTGAGAAGTAACAAAATAAGACACTGCATGATGAACTTGAAGTATTGTCGTTCGAAAAATCCATGTTGTAAGTAAGTTTCTCTTTCAGGTAATGAAATGACGTTTGCCAAGATCTCAACTCAATTATGTACTATCATGCGTGAAGTACAAAATGCAAAATAGTGCGTGATGGGCTAAGAATATTGTTGCTCAGGGTTTTTGTTATGAGTAAGTTTCTCTTTTGTGCAACGAGATGTTGTGCCAGTTTCTCAAACCAATCACCAGTCTCATTTGAAAAGTTAAAACATACGACAATACATGATTGATTTGAGATATTATCACAATGAAATCTTGTAGTAAGTTTCTCTAGGGCGCACCGTTCGAGGGTGCCCCATCACTGCGCCGTGCTTAGGCCTATAAATATAAACTTTCTGACCTTAACCTCGCTGCTTGTAGCAGCCCTCTTGTCCGCTCCGCAGTGGATACAGAGATTTTGAACCAGTGGTTTCCTCCTCCTCCACAGGATTCAACTTTTGGTACAATGGTGGAAACTCAGCCTCAGAAGCAGCAGAGCAAGCCCATCAATGGCGTCAATGGGATCCATAACCACCACCATGACGAAGCAGATTTCGACCCAAGTGCCCCTCCTCCATTCAAGATAGCTGAGATCCGAGCTGCCATTCCCAAACACTGCTGGGTCAAGAATCCATGGAGGTCTCTTAGCTATGTTTTCAGGGATTTGTTTGCCATTTCTGCAATGGCAGCTGCTGCCATTTACTTGGATAGTTGGTATCTTTGGCCTTTGTACTGGGCTGCTCAGGGAACCATGTTCTGGGCTCTCTTTGTTCTTGGACATGATTGGTAATTTTCACTCGCTTCATTCTCCATTTATGCACATTTTTCAGCAATTTTTTTTTTATAACTTTTTTCTGCATCTGCTTGGTTCTAATGTGATTGTTTTTTTGATTGAACAGTGGCCATGGAAGCTTTTCAGACAGTAGAATTCTGAACACAGTTGTGGGGCATATATTGCATTCTGCAATTCTTGTACCATATAATGGATGGTTGGTTCCTCGTAAACTTCATTGCTTCATTACCTGCTTCCAATGATGTTTTCCCGGAAGTGATTTTCGCGCTCCCCTTTGTCTCCCCTGCACTTATCCTGTTTGTTCTAGCCTTTGGGTTCAATAATTCGAAGGAGAACAAGCGACCGAAACAAGATAAGTGCAGAACGAGAAAACGAGAGCGTGAAAATCACTACCTGCATTTATGCTTTTGATGTTTGAATTCTTATTTGGTTGAAATCTGAGTCACATTTTCATATGATTTCTTCAGGAGAATTAGCCACCGAACTCACCATCAGAACCATGGACATGTTGAGAATGATGAGTCATGGGTTCCTGTAAGTGCTTCCTCTTAATTCAAACCCTTCCATCTACTTGTAAATTGATCAGAATGCTCTTACTTTGCACAAACAGAAATACTAGTTCTGGAATCTGAATCTGCTGATGCTGCCTTAATCTTTCATAAGTAACTAATTAAGCTGTCTGTTTTTCGCTATCTTTGTCGATATAGCTGACTGAGAAGCTTTATTCGAGTCTCGATGAAAGTACCCGAAAATTCAGATTCAGGGTGCCTTACCCCATTTTTGCATACCCTTTCTATCTGGTGAGAACGCCATCTTTTATTGCTCATATATTTTCGGACGAGTGATTTTCGCACTCCTCTGTTTTCTAGCCCTTCGATTGAATTAAGCAAAGGAAAATCAAGGGCGAGAAACAAGGGGCCGAGTGCGGAAGGAGAAAACGGGAGAGTGGTGTACTCTTTAGCTTCAATTGTATTTTTGTGATGGTCTGTGAAGGCTAAATTTTGCTTCTTTTTTGGCTTGGTTGGCTTTCGCTTTCAGTGGACTAGAAGTCCAGGGAAGAAAGGTTCTCATTTCAATCCGTACAGTGACTTGTTTGCCCCAAATGAAAGGAGAGATGTGATAGCATCAACTACTTGCTGGACTATGATGGTTTCCCTGCTTGTCTATCTATCGTTTGTCGTAGGCCCTGTCGAAATTCTCAAGCTTTATGGTGTCCCTTACTGGGTTAGTTCAGTTTTTCTTCATGATAATATACACTAGCCTGCAGAGTTTATTTTTCCTAATTCTCATAAAACTTTTACTTGCAGATTTTCGTAATGTGGTTGGACATGGTCACATATTTGCATCACCATGGTTATGACGAAAAACTTCCTTGGTACCGCGGAAAGGTAAAACCGATACATTAGCTCTAACAACACTGATCATACTTGGATGCTAATTTACATGCTGCAAGTGAAGAACATAGTACCCAAAAACTGGAGATTTTATTTAAGAAGCTTTAATTTCCTCTCCTGGCTTGGTTGTGTAGGAATGGAGTTATCTACGAGGAGGCCTCACAACTGTAGATCGCGATTATGGAATGTTCAACAACATCCACCATGACATTGGCACTCATGTTATCCATCATCTCTTTCCTCAAATCCCACACTACCACCTAAGAGAAGCAGTATGTTACTTTACCATGTTTTTCCCCACTTTAACAAATTAATCATCCCTTCACATTTTACAGTTGCAATCCTTTAGCCCTACTTGTTGATTCTCATTACATTCACGTGCTTGTATTGCAGACAAAGGCAGCAAAACCAGTTCTGGGGAACTACTACCGGGACCCGAAGAAATCTGGGCCGTTTCCAGTTCACTTGATCGATAACCTGTTGTCAAGCATGAGCAATGATCACTATGTTAGTGACACTGGAGACATAGTATTCTACCAGACAGACCCCAAGCTTTTCAAAAGTCTCAAAGGCAAGTCCAATTGATTTTTCATTTTTTGGGGTTTGCTCAATTGAAATGGCAGATATGAATTGTTTTCTGTATTGCATTATCTGCCTCAAACCTTGAGAAGGATAATTGTATTTGGTGATTGGTTTAGTTTCTAGCAAATAAACAATGGTTTGGTTAATTTTGTTTCGGAGTATTTATTCTAGATTGTTAGTTTTATGACGATTTAGGCCTCGTTCCATGAGTTATTCTATCCAAGCAAATCTTAGACAACAAACGAGGCCGAAGGGTAGATGAAATGGCCAAAAAAAAAAAAAAAAAACACATTTCATTTCTTCATTAACCTCCTAAGGTTTTTCATGTGAAAACTTCAGATTTGTGAACACAATAGACATGGACTAAATGCTCACTACTTTGAAAAAGAAACGAAGAAGCACAAGATTGGTTAAAAGTATATACTGGCCAAGCCCAAGGCAACTGCAAATTAAAGCCCACATCCTTCCCATGTGGAAAAAGTTAGAATTCTCGTCAACTTGGACATTCAATGTTAATAGTCCGGTATCCGCCATGGACAAACGTGGACGGTCGATATGTCGTTGATAATGTGCAGATATCAATGTAACTAATAACATACCAACGTATTATCGATATAATATCCACGACACCAGACATGTATTATGCTTTAAACTTTTGCAATTATAACTAAACCCAAACCTATATTTCGAGTTTTTGCCATTATCATTACGTGTCACAAAACAAGAACAATCACCTTTAACTATTTGGTCTAGTAACACAGTTAACATTCTATAAGGGAGGATTCTGAGTAAACTCGCGAATTACAAACAAAAACAAGAAGAATCATTACAAATCTAAAACTTTAGCCACCCAAAAATTGAACATCATTTCAGCTGCAGCATGAAGAACGTTTCCCGGATGAAGACTAAAACATCACCAAAAATAGCATCATTTCAGTAATTTAGGAAGTGCTAAACGTCTGGTTAGTTGATTATTTCGTGGGGTTTTCCTCCTCAGCTAACGAACAAGATTGGAAAACCACAAAACCAGCCATTACCAAATTTAAAATAACTTGGATTTCTGTCTGTCTGCTCTCTGTGCCAAAAGAAGAAAAAAGACGAACAAAGGGAAAAAAAGGCAGTGGTGCTGTGGAGATTTGGTGGGTTATATAAATTGTGTACAAGAAAATTCACACACCTAGTTTTAAGATGGATGCACGCATCACAGTATGTAGACAACAGAAACAAGGCTTTACTTGGCAAATGTTACAAATCCTTACCAATTTACTACAGAACCCAAGTGCGTCTTGTTTTTCTTTTCCTTATCCATGAGGAATGGTCGATTCAAATTTTTAAAGGCCATCTCCAGCAAGTGAGTTGTATGTTAGTCAGCAAAGGGTCATATCCTAATCAACATGCAGAGCTGGCTACTTGTAGCTCTGGAGTTAACTACAATTAGCAAACAAAGCACTTTGCGGAACCACATGTAATTTCTCTCTCTTTCTTATCTCTTTTTTTCTTTAAATACTATAAGTTATTAGTGTATAGCTCCATAGTGCTGGAGATAAAAATATGGGCAAGGCTACACATCAAAAAAAAAATATTTAGAGTTCAAACATAGTGATCTACACTCTTTAGCCACAGTTAGAAATGCCTTATCATTGTAAAGTTAGTTTATCTTTTTTTTTTTTTTTTTTTCTTTTTTTGGTATGCAAGAGAATATGAACACAAGATGATTTTAGTTTGAGGAATATTCTTCTTATTTCAAAGCTTTTTCTTTACTAAATTTTGAAATATAAATCATAGCCTTTTGTGTTTTTGAACATGTAATACCTTTTTTTTAAGCTACTCAATACTATGGTCGGGTGGTATGGTATTCCTCTTTGCTTAGAAGTAAGAGGTCTTAGGTTCGAATCTCGTGGATGACGAATTCGATACCAAATTAGGCTGTCCATTGTGGAGCTTAGTCGAACTCTCTCTTCCCTTAGACCAACTCCAATGGTGGGCTAAAAGTCAAATTACCCTCCAAAATTTCCCCCCAAACCCACTCCAACCCAAGGGGAAAATTGGGGCTAAATGCTAAATGATAAATCAAGGCCAAATTCCCCCCAAAATTTAGCCCAGAAATCAGAGTGGTCTCCACCTAATATTTATCGGAATTTAAATTTTTTTAGATCAAAATGTTCATAAAATTAATTTACGATAATCTACATATTTATTTATTTATTTTTAATTTAATTTAACAAAAAAAAATAGTCTAAGTTCATTCTTTAATAATCCCAGGCTAAAATTTTAAGCTAGAACTGTTGGAGCAGAAAAGTTGTTTATGGGCTAAAAGCTAAATTTTCCGGGCTAAAATATTTGGCTTTTAGCCCAACCATTGGAGATGATCTTAGTGTCAAAATATTGATGTATTAAAAAAAATAAAAAAATAAAAAAAATAAAAACCTTCTTTTTAATATATTAGATGTTAAATGAATATTTTTAATCATAATTCATTTTCTAATTTAAATTTTAAGTTTAGATGTGGATGTTTTATGTTAAAGTGTCATAATTTATTTATGCTGCTTCACATCATATGGTCAAATATTTTTTTATTAACTATTTAAAAGTACTAAAAAAATGTCATTTTCTACTCCTTACAAATGTATTTTGTTTTCTGATTATATAAAATTCGAAGTCTCATAATCAAAATTTTAGAGTGCTAATAATAATTTTCTAATAAAGTAAAAAATTTATTGATGAAGATGGGTCACCCATTACTGTTAGGATAAATTTCTTGTTGTTTTGTGTAAAAAAATGTCATGTGTCATTTGTTAAGATGAAAAGATCCCAATGCAAGTGTTAGTGCAAAAATTGTTAACACATTTCTCTAAGGGGAGAATTGCCCAATATAAAATTATTCGAAGAGGGAAATCCGCAAGGAGGTACATATTCAAAAGCAAAATGGGTCACATATTCCATCAAATTTAATAATAGAATGTGCCCCTTTTATTAATACAGTGCTCACTTGTAATTCATTATGTTTAATTTTTTGGAACTGTTCAGGGGGTATCTTAAAAGTGAGATTTTTATGAAATCTCTGCTACCTCATGTTTTTGGCACAATGTTTTAGACATGAAAATTGACGTTAAATTGTGAGATAGCAGATAATCTATGAAGAATTCCACTTTTGAGAGAGCCCCTTTAACATTTATCTTAATTTTTAGTTCCTGACTCTCTGGATTTATTATTCTTTCTAACTTCTACATTTTCAATGGTGCATAAAAAAAAAAAAAAATGGGCGCAATTGAATTAACGAATGTGTAACTATGAAACACAAATTATGATAAACCCAAAATTTGAGACACTTAGGGGTGTATTCAATTGGGAATTGGAGCGATTTTGATAGATTTATAAATCTATGGATTTTTATGGAGTTTAATTGATTTGTAGAGATTCGATGTAAAATTTTAATTCAATTCTCCCGAAATCTCATGGGGAGAGGGGAGATTTGTAAATGTTTAAAATACTCTACAAAATCTCTCAAATTACCTCTAATTCTTCAACTTTTTGAAATTCTTTAAAATCAAATTTTAATTGAATACACTTGAAATGTTATAAATTTCTTTAAAAATCCTAATTAAATACACCCAAATTTCTAAGAATTTTAATAAATTATCTTAAAATCCTGATTGAATACAGATTGAATTTCAGAGTCTCACTTAAAATCCTGATTGAATACCCCTAAATTCATTAAAAAAATTAAAATCCCTCCAAATTCCAATTGAATACAACTCTGTGGATCTTGGGATGGTTAATGGACAATTCATAAATCCATTAATTCGATTCGATTATCATTCCCTTAACTAGATAAGCCTAAACACATATAAGTATAGCCAACTTCTTAATTCAGAAATATCTCTAGAGTCCACAGAGTTCAAAAGGTTTCTGTTGTAAGTTGCTCTCCTTCATTGTGTTTATATCTTGTAGTTTAAACTTGGAAATATTTTAAATATCAACTTTTAAATTTAGGTTTTTATTTTTTATTTACTTGGAAGTCTTAGTTGGTTGCTGAAAAAATGGTAGCCAATGTGACCGGAGACCAAGTTGATTTTGACCCAAGTGCCCCTCCACCGTTCAAGATTGCTGAGATCAGAGATGCAATCCCCAAACACTGCTGGGTAAAGAATCCATGGAGGTCTTTGAGTTATGCTGTTTGGGATGTTTTGGTCGTTTTTGCAATGGCAGCCATAGCCAAATACTTAGACAGTTGGTATGCTTGGCCAATCTACTGGGTTGCTCAGGGAACCATGTTTTGGGCTGTGTTTGTTATCGGACACGATTGTGGCCATGGAAGCTTCTCAGACTCTCGCTTGCTGAATAATTTTGTGGGGCATATTTTGCACTCTGCCATTCTTGTACCTTATCATGGCTGGTGGGTTTTCGATATATTTCTTTAAAATTCTTGTACCTTGTATTGAACATTGTTGAATTGCGCTAGGGTTTGTGTCTATGCGCATGCCAGTGGTTCTTGACTTTGAATAGTCTGAAAGTGAATCAATGATCACGATTTGCTCACATGTTTTTAGACGAATGTAGCAAATTTCAACAATGTTTATTAATGTTTAGAGTAATGCTTCGCCATGTTATTAGTTATGTTTATGACCACGTCTCTAACAGAAGATGGATGTGTTAGTAATGTTGTTTACAATGTGTTTTAAAAATATGATTTCTTAAATTACTGTATTTTATCAACAATATATAATATTGCAGGAGAATTAGCCACAGAACTCACCATCAGAACCATGGAAATGTTGAGAAAGATGAGTCTTGGGTTCCAGTACGTGTTTTACTTATTTTAGTGCTCTTGCTTTGCAACTTCTATTGATCTTCAATATTTCAATTTCTTAACCTGGTTATTATCTATTTCAGATGACTGAGTCGCTCTACAAAAAATTGGATAATGGCACAAAAACGTTGAGATTCACAATTCCTTTTCCGTTCCTCGCTTATCCGGTTTATCTGGTGAGAGTTAATTTAATTGAGGGATTAATCTGTCCAGTTACACAGTTTTGTTAAGGTTTTCGCTGTTTGATAATTAGTTGTTAACTTTTACTTTTATTTGTCCGCTAATGCAGTTTTATAGATCTCCTGGTAAAGAAGGATCTCACTTCCATCCAAGCAGTGACCTATTCTCCCCGAATGAACGATTTGATATTTTAACTTCAACTGCTTCGGTTGTTCTAGCAGCTGCTTTGCTGTTGTATTTCTCCATTGTGCAAAGCCCTATTCAAATGCTTAAGTTATATTTTGTTCCTTATTGGGTGAGTTCATTTTAAAATTCTTGTTTAGTTAGTAATATACTAACTTAATATAGAATTAGGGTTTTGTTTATGTCTATAATTTGATCATGCACTATATTTTCACAGATTTTTGTGATGTGGTTGGACATTGTCACGTACTTGCATCACCATGGTTACAAGACAAAGCTCCCTTGGTATCGCGGCAAGGTAAAACTTTTCTGTATGGATGTGTTTTACATTGCGCTTGTGTACATAACAATTGTTTATTAAGATGATTAATCCTTTTTCTTACATATTATACCCATTTAGTACTGCAAATTGATGTTGTTTTATTTTTGGTGCAGGAATGGAGTTACCTGCGAGGAGGGCTTACAACCATTGATCGTGATTACGGAATGTTTAACAAGATCCATCATGATATTGGCACCCATGTTATACATCATCTGTTTCCTCAAATTCCACATTATCACCTGGAAGAAGCAGTAAGTGATCCTTAGCTATCAATTGAAATTATTGATTTTTTGTCTTTGCAGACTTGGTCTGTAACATTTGATTTACATGCATACCTACTTCTTTTGCAGACGAAGGCAGCGAAGCCGGTTCTAGGGAAGTACTATCGCGAGCCAAAAAAATCAGGGCCAATTCCGTTTCACTTGTTCAAGATCTTGGCTACAAGCATCTATGAAGATAACTATGTCAGTGACGATGGAGAAATAGTTTTTTATCAGACAGATCCTCAGCGTCTTAAAGCTTCTAAGAATAAAGCTAATTAATCATCTTGGTAATGATATCTGGTGGAGAAATGAAGGCAATCCCTTAGTTGTTGTGTGTTGTTTTAAGTTTCTGGATTATCGAGTTTTTATATACATATTATCTGAAGTTTCTACACAATTATCTATTAGAGGTTGTAATTTTGTCACTTAATTTTGATGTTAAGCTTTTTGGATCTGAATATGTAAGTACATGTCTAACAATGTCGTCGTTTCCTTTTTCATGATATTTTAAATTCTCTAACAAATTAACTTAACGAGTATTTGATGCAATATTAACCAATTATGGTTCACATATTTACTATAAAATGCAAGAGTCGCCCAAATCAGTCTCAATTCGACTTGATTAACTTAATCGAAACAACTTGGTTAAGTAGTGATTGTGACTATATGCTACTACTCTTTAGATATCCTCTTCAATATGGTTTAGGGTTTAGAGTTGGTACAATGTGAAGCCTCCATCACAAAATATATTCTTGTAGGGGAAATATTACTATATTAGCTAGCCACATGACTCCCCATCGGAACTATGGAAATGTTGAGAAAGATGAGTCTTGGGTTGGTATCTTGCTTAATTTAGGATCTCTTGCTTTGCAATTTGCAATATATGTTAATTTCTTAACTTGGTTATTACTTGTTTAATTAGATGACTGAGACGTTTTACAGAAGTTTGGATGGTAGCACCAAAGCGATTAGATTCACACTGCCTTTTCCATTCTTCGCATTCCCTTTTTATCGGCATCTTGACGAATATTGTACATTTTTATTAAAAAAAATAGGTTTAGATTGTAATCTTCTCTAGTCAGTAATCTAGCTAGTACCCTAAAAATCGAATTATGGTTTTGTTTATATGCCTGTGATGTGGTCGGACATTGTCACATACTTGCATCATCGTGTTACGAAAGAAAATCTCCCTTGGTATCCGTAGCAAGATGACAGTGTTTAGCATTGTGTTTATGTACATAACAATGATATTAACGTTTTGTCTGGGGTTTATTGATTAGTAAAATGGATTCATTCATTTCTTTGCGGGAATCGAGTTACTTGAGGAGGGATTACAACCGTTGATCGTGGTTTTGGATTGTTTAATAAGATCCACCATGACATTGGCACTCATGCTTAATTAATTACATTTGAGTGACAAAATTACAATCTAAAATGTAGTTAATATGTTGCATTAAGTTTCTAAAATCAAGTTAAAAATGATTCTCATTTGAGACCGTGATTGTTCACTCAAATCTAGTGGTTACTGTGTACAATGTGTTATCTTCCATTGGCGTGATGCTGCCTTGGTTGAAGCTTTTGGAAGCAACGCTGGGGACCAGTTTGGCATTGGAGAAGCATTCTGATCACATTATCGTGGAAAGTGATTATCTTCTCTTAGGGCGGGCAGTGGGTAGTCTCCGACAAGACCACTCTCCTCTCAGCCCGGCGATAGATGACATTTAATCTGGCCTGAGATTCTTCTCCCACTCCTGCAGCATTCATGTTCGACGAACATCCAATGTTGTAGCACGTAGATTGGCCAAATTGGCATTTTTTTAGCATGAATTTTTGTTTGTTTGATGAGCCTCTGAAAATTATCCATGATGCATTACTTGAAGTTTGTACAGTTTTGCCAAAAAAAAATAAAGTAAAATATTATGTGACAACTCTTCAAATTGGGGTGGACATATTTGCTTAAATCAAATCAGTTGTATCAAGAAACGTGCAAGATGATATTTTCAGATTGTCAACTATGCACCCAATCTGAAGATATTCTCCTATACAGTTTAGGGGTTTAACAATGAAGGTTGTATATTGTAAACTTTGAACCGATTATAGCTCTTTATTGTATCACCAAATTTGGAGATAATCAAGTTGACCAAAGAAGCATGTACTTTTTCTGCATCTAATTTCGAATCTTCCTCTAGTAACATCATCTACTTTTAATGAAGTTTATCTTGACAAAGCAAAAGAAGAATAACATATTTTTCCATTGACGTGAACTCCACTTTAGACTTCAATCTTTCATTAGAACTCAAATTTAAGTTTTAGTACTACTCGTAAATCATATATGAGTTTTAACTTTCCAGTGCATTGAATTCATGCATAATATTCGGAGTCCAAACTTTTCAGTGTATTGGGATGGCATGATATCAGGTCATGTATACCAAGAAATAAATCAAATAATCTTACTTGCTTTGTTCTGTACGGGACCAAACCTAAAGGTAAAAGAAGTTGACAGATGATAGAAGAGCCGGTCGGGGGGAACAAGCTAGCTCATCAGTTTGAACAAAGCAGGGAAAGGTCAGCATCTTGTGATGCAAATCAGAAACTCGATACAATGAGGCTACCGGACCTAAAATATATATATCCCCCTGTCACAACACTCAATCCTCCCCACATCTCTCAAACCTAATTAGTAAAAACAAAATAACTCCATAAACATAGACCAGCCCAATAGTAACATATTATAACACACACTAGTGTACGCTAATTATTGAGCTGACAAACCAACAAGCGAAGGTGATTGCCCGTCGTTAATGAATATGAGTCGCACATGCATTTACAGCTGACAATCATCTTAATACAACGACGCATAATGAAATTTTTTCTCTAGGGAGCAAAGATGTAGTCCATATCCACACAAATATTTCTCTCCTTCCCACCCAATAGTGGATAGCTACAACACTTTGCCCTTTCTCATCCTGCCTTAACTATCTCAGGAACTTTTGTCAAATAGGTTACACAATAAGAGTGTCTCCAAAGGAGAAAGCAAAATCTTTCTGTAAAAGTGTCACTTACTAACCTATTTGGCACTTTTATGCTATTTCAAAAATTTGTCACTTCAACCCACTCTTCAAATTTTATCTTTCAATTTAAAATAGTAATATCTTAACTTTATTTTATCTTGTGGGGCCTAAATTTTATATTCAAACTCTTTACTAAAGAACACTTTTGAATACATATCCTGCGGTGCGGAATCCAATTTGCTAACTGGAAGTAGTAACTGATCAGTTGCTAATTCTTTAATTTGCTAACTAGTTGGCACCTCTATTGGGGATGCGTTTTTCCTACATAGCATAGCAAATCTAACTCTACTACCAAATACTATACCCCCTTGAAGAGGTGTAACAAGTTCTATGAAACTTTAGATAATACCCGTTGCAAAAGAGCAAGTAATAGCAACAACCTTCACTCGCCCAAAAGTGAATCCACCACCACACAGACGCACCACAGCCGGCAGCTTTACTTAACACTCCTCTTAATAATATGACTAAATCTACCATGCGACAACAATGTCGTACAAAATTGACTTTACCATGCGCATGGTAACATATTCCTGGACACCCCCATATTCAAATCCAGTGCCCGCCACTTCTCTCTCTCTCTCTCTCTCTCTCTCTCTCTCTCTCTCCCCCACTTTGTCTCTAAACACTTTATGCAGTTTTGCTGCTACAAAACAAATTTGAATCTCTCTTTTTCTTCTGTCGCTGCTTTTTTCTCGACTCCTCTTCGTTCTTACTTTTTTCACTTTTTATCAACTTGAAAGTTCAAACTACGCTAAATCAAACTCCCACTCACTCGCCAAACTGTGCTTGTTTCACTACCCTTTTCCATGAAGTTGCTAATTTCTTCCCCTTCTTTTTCTTCATGCTCATCATCCAACTCCACTGCTTTTGATGCAACAATGTGCAGTTCAAAAAGCGCCACCACTGGCTGCATTTCCGGAATTTTGCGCAGAATTCTCTGCAAAGGAAGCTTCCCCACATACCCTTCTGATCACATCCTAGGAGAAGAAGAAAATTCTGTGGAATCTGGTTCCAGAGATCAAGATTTTAATTCCAAGGATAAAACAGAGATCTCTGCCAGTCCAAGCATTGTGGCAAGGCTGATGGGATTGGATTCAATTCCAGACAGGAACTTGGTCAGCAGCCAATCAACCCAAAATTCAATTCCACGCAGCAAATCCATGAATTCTGTCGACCGGTTTGATAAGCGTCGCGGGATGAAGTCGACTCGATCATTTAGAGAGATGCCTACATTTCTTGAGCTAGAAAATGAGGAATTTTTTATTCTCAGCTTTGAGAATGAGAGGAAAAGCAAGGAAACAGAATCGAAAGGGAGGAAATGTGAAAAGAGACGAAGCCAAAAAACGGAAAACAGAAGAGAAAGAAGGGCAGAGAATAAGAAGCAACTCCAAGAAGGACAAAGCAGAAGGGCTTTGAACGATTTGAATGGGAAAGAGATGCTGAAAAGCAGAAGCACTTCTTGTGAAGATTCAAAAAGTACTTCAATTGCTGCAAAGACGATAGAGAAGAAGAAAACTATATGTGATGTGCTTAAGTATGTAGAATCTGAATTCAGCTCAGAAGATTTAAGCCCGGTTTCGGTTCTCGATGGTGGCCAATTTCTTGTTGATACAGAAATCCCTTCTTCAGGTTTGTCCCCTCAATTCTGTAGACCATTTTTCAACTTAAGCTTGAACTGTTTTGGTTTTAGTCAATTGTAAATTATTTAAGTATGGTTTAAACTTCGATTCAAAAATAGAATTGGAGGGACGTTAAACAGTAAAGTGGTTTGAACCTGTATTATTATATACATGGATTAATGTCTATCTAGTGTCTTCTGGTTTTGTTTTTTATTAAAGTTCAGTAGAAATAACCAAAATTTAGAGTTCATTTCAAATTGGTGCTTGAACTTTGATCCATCAACAAAATCCTACCAAAAACTCACGAAAACCCTACCCTTAGCTACATCTGTTAGTCAAACCCTACTTTGAATATTACACCACCTAACAAGGTTTTGACTGTGTAAGCATAGTCGTATTGGCTAGAGGAAATATGCTCCATTTATATCTCAAACTTCGAACCTTCTCTATACAGTTTAGAGCAGCCTCAAGTCGAATATTGTTAAATACATTAAAAATATTATTTTTCTTGTGACAGAAGAAGATTCAAGTTTAGTCAATGAAAATGGTCCAAGTGGTGATGCAAGAAGAAAAAAGACAAGAGAAGGCAAATGTCTTGGATCAAAGAAGAAAGAATTCCACAGAGCAAAGCACATTGGGATGTGGAGTGAGATTTGTAGGCTGACTGAAGCCGAATTGATCGGTTCAAATTGGATCCTACAAAACAAAGGCATGTGGAGTTTTGAAGGTACTTCTGCAGGCGTTGGTGCAGATTTCGAGTCACAGATTCTTGGTCAATTATTAGATGAGATTGTTGATCAATTTGCTGACTTTGCCATGGAAATTCAAAATCTGCAAGATTTACAGCCTTTGTAAATTTTGGCATCAAAATAAATCAAATTAACCAACAAAATATTGTATTTACTAAAAGTATAGTTTTTCTTCATTCCAGCGATAGTATCATTGGCTTAATAAAATTTAAATTATGTGGGGTTAATTCGAACTTGGATGCAAAGAGAGACACATTATATAACCAACTGTTTGGGCCCAAAATATTGGGCTTGGGCCGAGCAGCAAGACGGGCTCGGCCCAAGGTAATGACATGCGATGGGCCAAATAATGAAACCCGGACCAGCTGGCAGGGTCGTCGAGATCCTATCTTAAAAGTAGTCCAGATAAGTGAGGAAAGGTCGAGGAAATCCTGGTGCAATCAGGATTCTCGACCAGCAAGGGATAAAGCCTCAAAAGGAGGAGAATTCAGAATCCCAGTAGGACTAGGGTTGTTCGAGTTAAAGGTGAAATGGGATAAGGACTCCCAATCCAGATCAGAATGGGATTCAAGGAGCGAGGTGCTATAAATACAAGAAATTACGCAATGGAAAAGCTCTCCACAATCAGCATACAATTGCCCTGCGCAAATTCTCTCAAACACCTTGAGATTTTTCCTTTTCTTTTCCCGCCGACACACCTTCAGTTTGGATAAACAGCACTGTGGAAGCAACCGGTGAGCACCTTCAGTTTGGATAAACAGCACTGCTGCCGCAGAATCAGCCGACCAAGACACACCTTCAGTTTGGATAAACAGCACTGCGTCGAGGTCGACCGATTATCTATCTAAGTCTCGGCCGAGAAAGGTTTTCGAACCTTTGTTGGTAGAGGTCATCTTACTAAGCCGCTTCGGCATAGTTGGGTGTTACGAATTGCCTTGCTCGGCGCATTGGAGGCCGAGTGAGTTTATGATTGGATACTCACAAGTAAGTTTCAGGGTTCGGCATTCCGACGGCCGAACTACGTTTACCATCAAGACATATATCACATTCGAGTACCTGTGCCCGTATAGTTTGGTCTCAATTCGGCGTGCTTATACTCTTACGAATACAATCACAGTGGCCGAATCAGGCTTCGACGAGTTGTGAACTCCGTAGAATTAGTAGCCTTGTCTTCAGGCTATAGAATCCAGAGACCGAGAGCGTTCCTTCCTCGGTCGCAATCGCAAGATACAGAAGTCAACAGCGCGCTCAACGCGACCGCATCAAATTTTACTCCTCGGCCGAGCTCGGCCGACGAGTTGGCACGCCCCGCATTCAACCGAAGGACATTAGTTAGCTCATTAGTTATTCGGCCTGCGCGCCACGTAGGTTCTGTAATTTTTGTAGTCAACATTTTGGCACGCCCAGTGGGACCATTGTGCTAAACCTTCGGAGTTCATGACCGTAGAAACACGGTCTACCAAGAAGAAAACAAACATGGGAAAGTCAACAGTTGACTTACCAGTGCAAGGCCTTGGGCAGGATTCGCACCCAGCAAAAAATCCGGTCATTGCTTTGCCACCCGAGGCTACAAGTGTGACCCGCCGAGAGAATGAGATCTGTCTCGGTGGGCAACCTCACAACGCGGCTATCCCGAATCAAACGACGCCCATATTCGTGGAGGGGATAGTGGAAGACTGCGACGACGATGGTGGAGAAGGCTCTGATCCACCAACTAGGTCGTTTCTTCGGAGACGACTCGATGAGCAGTATCGACAGGTCGAGCAGTCGATTGGTCAAAAGATGAATGATTTGCTAGAGGCAATACGAAGTAACAACGATACACAGACCAGAATGCTTGAAATATTAGTTAGTAAAGCCTTCGAAGATGGCCAGGTCGGCCAACCTCGACAGCTCTCGACGAACGTGCCCATACCAGCCGATAGAGCGTCCGCTCGACCGCAACCAGTCACCTTAGAAAGAGGATCAGGACATAGATCCGAGGGACCAAGCCAGGGAGAAGAAGCCGCCTCCGTGAACATGACCGAAGTCCAGAGAATGATTGATTCGGCCTTGAAGAAAGGGCCGAAGTTTCCAAAATTCATTCATCCTTACCCGGCTTACGTAGAAAGGTTTGAATACCCACGGGGATTTAAGATCCCTGATTTCAGCCTCTTCGCCGGGGAGTCGTCTTTGTCCTCATTAGAACATGTGGCCCGGTTCACGGCGCAGTGTGGAGACGTTAATAGCGATTTCTACAAACTACGTCTGTTTAACTTTTCATTGACAGGCTCCGCTTTCGCCTGGTACATTAATCTTCCACCCAATTCTGTGCAGAGTTGGGAGGAGTTGGTCGAAAAATTCCATGAACAATTCTATCGGCCTGGGATGGAGATGTCAGTGTCATCCTTGGCCAGGATGGCTCAAGCATCCGACGAATCTCCAATGGAGTACTTAACAAGGTTCAAGTCGGCCAGGAATTGGTGCCGAGTACCACTCCCCGAAGTGGAATTCGTCAGGATTGCTCTCAACGGATTAGACGTGGAGTACAAAAAGAAGTTCCTGGGGGCAAACATTCGCGATATGTACGAACTTGCTCAACATGTCGAACAGTATGATTACCTGCTCCGAGAAGAGAAGGTCTCAAAATCACCATCCCGGGGAACGTTGTATAAAAACCCCACGGTCAGCTATGCATCGGCCGAAAGCGGGGACCCTCAGTACGTCAGTGTGGATGCGGCCGAGATAGTAATAGATAAACCGTACGTCTGCAAGGCTCTGGCTCAAGTACACGGCAAAGACACCAAAGCCCATTCGGCCGCCGAGGACATAAGTAAATCTTCAAAAGTATACACTTTCGACATCACCAAGGCCGATGCAATTTTCGATCAATTATTGGCGGCAAAGATCATCAAGCTTCGGCCGGGACATATTATCCCTAAGGCCGATGAATTGAAAGGAAAGATATACTGCAAGTACCATAATTCTAATAAGCATGCAACAAATAATTGTGTCGTGTTCCGGGATACAATCCAAAGTTGGATCGAAAAAGGAAAATTGAAATTCCCGGAAAAGCAGATGGCGGTCGACGTCAATCCTTTCCCTTCAACAACAATTGGTATGGTGGATGCTCATCTTCCTAAAAACAAAGGGAAGGCCGAATACGTTCCGGTGCAGCATATCCGTAAACAGAATGGTCGAACAAGGCTGAAGCTTGATATATTTTCGAATGCACCACCCACGGAACAATCGAGGCCCCTCGCCGATGAGCCTATGATGGGGTCGAGTTCCGACGAAACTCATGAGTCAAGGGTTTTATGTGACCATTGTAAAACACCGATTGAACCTGGGAAGAAGACATTTTCAACAACACCCACGGCCCTTACCACAGCACCAAAGGAAGTTGGTCCGCGACGTCAAGTGTTCGATCGACTCGGCTTACAAGTACGGCCGAAAGACCAGGCCTCAGTCAGGCGGCGCCTTGATTTCGACGCGCCTTTCTATAATGAGGATTACTACTCGCGCAATACTAACAGTTCCAGCTCGTCAGCCGATCGCAAAACCTTCAAACCACCCCGAACATCGGATCAACGCTGGTACAGTTACAACTCCCCGACTGGTTTATATACAGCACTGTCTAAATCCCAAAAACGTCGCCGTCAACGGATTGATTGCATGGCTCGGCGACGAGGAGCACAGGCCAGTACTGCCAACCAGTGGCAACCAAAGAAGGCCGCGGAAAGCATCAGTGAACGGCCCACCCCGACTATCATGACCGAATTGGCCGAAGGGAAGCAAGTAGCTGCTGCCGGTTTTGAAACCACCATTGAGGATGCTGAGAAACGTATCAAAATCCTGCTTCGGCCTGGGGAAACTAGAGCTCGGCTAGAACACTTCACGCAAGAGGCCAAAAGGAAGATTTCCTCATCACCACCGCGCGAACCGTTTATCAAAGTACGGCGCAACTTACATCCCTCATTCCTCGGTGAATCCTTGGAATACATGAGAGAGTTTCACAAGAAATACTCCGCCAATGACTTGTACGGACTACCCAAGGAGTGTCAGGAAGCCCTCGACCTAGCTCTCACTTGCCCTGATGCCGAGCAAATCATTCAGAAAACCTCCGACCCAGCAATTAAGGCAAGGTTCCAGCATATACGGGAAGCTCGGGTACTTGGTTTTGATGTTGATCCTTATACAGATATCGACACCGCCGAATTACCTTTCTCGCTCGATGACCTTCAGCATTTGCGCTATCATTTCGAAGTTTTCTCGGCGGTATCACTCTTCGGCCTCACGGCCGACGAAGAAAAACGAATAGCAAGGTTGGATACATATCTCGACACTAGGAACGCCCGCATTGCCTATGAAGAACGGGCCCGTATAACAAAGGACCAACATAAATCTTCAACAGTCAACATGGTCGAGGAAAATAGCCACACCACATTCGACTCGGTTCCCATGTTTCGGGTACCGGCTCTTACCGAGGCACTTGAAAGCTTGATCGAGGATGTTCCGTCGACTGATACTGTGGCTAGTTCGGCAGAAGACGACGACCACGATCCAATGGGTCCTTCGGTTCTCGAACAAATGGAGATCAGTATGGTCCACGTGTTACCAGCCGAATTCCAACCAAGTACACCCCAGTCGAATTTCTTGGACGGGGATGTGGTCGCCGAGGAGGCGACACAAGTCGATTTCATCGCAAACGATGACGACCGAGAAACCCGAAGCACGGACAACCTTAAGGCGGCATTAGCCGAGCTATTTCCTCGTTCTCCTTCGGTTAATCTCCAACACCTGAAGCCGTTGTACATCACGGCTCACATCGAAGGATTCCCCATTTCCAAAGTGTTTGTCGACTGTGGGGCCACAGTCAACATTATGCCAATATCTGTCATGAAGGCTTTGCGCCGTTCTGATAATGAGCTCATTCCGTCAGGGATCACTATGAGCAGCTTCATTGGTGACAAGTCTCAGACCAAAGGAGTGTTACCATTGGAGGTTAGCATTGCCGGTCGCCAACACATGACGGCATTCTTCATAATTGATTCCAAGACCGATTATAACGCATTACTTGGTCGAGACTGGATCCACCAAACCAGTTGCATTCCTTCATCATTGTACCAAGTTCTCATCTTCTGGGATGGCAAATCGGTTACCATCCATCCAGCCGATAATCAACCATTTGAGACCAACATGATTCAGGCTCGCTATTATGATGATCACGTCGGCTACATCACCCTCCAAGG